GCACCGTTCACTGTCCTGTTTCTTACTGTTCCTGTTGCTGTGGCTACTGGTAGCTACTATGCCGCCTCTACGACTTTTATTTCGTGTGAATCTCTAGGAATGACGCCGGATGGCCTGCCGATAGACATGATAATCGTTCTGGGACTGACGCGCATTTTCCCCACACACGTCAATCACCCATTCATAGGTAATTCCGCATGTCAGTGCCAATGGGCTGCAGTAATGTGCACTGGCTTTCGACGCAATTCTGTTATGCGCACTGTTTATGAGCTCAGCTGTTACCGGACTGATGCCTACTAATTGTTTTCCTATGCAGAGGTCAAGGCGTGAAGTGCACGCAAAGCGCCGTCCCCTTACTCCTTTCTTCCACTCCAAATCAGGCATTTCCACTTGAACTATGCGCTGCTTTACTGCCAGCGAATCTCTGGAATTGATAATCGAGGTGGTGACATCCCCTGTCCACTTTTGTACCACTCGCAGTCAAACGCGGTATGTGACGTGTGTACTGGGAATGTCCTGTCAGAGTGAACCTATGGATCAAAAGGAGCGGGCTAGACAACCAATGGGAGACGGACAAAACAGATTCAAACGCTGGACGCGAATTGCCTGATGTTCGTCTGGGTTCTTTACCGTTCGTTTACTGTGTCGAGGGGTCATTAGTTATGGACGTAAACGGACAATATACAATGTTGGCCTAATTACTATAAATTCATCAGAGTTAGATAGCGTTTATTCTTTTTAGGTCATTCTTTTCAGTTTGCCAGATTTTCTTACTATTCTCAATGTCATGGTAACCAATGACAAAATAGTTGACAATAATGTAAATATATAATTTGTCTTAATGATTGGTATTTTTTATGCGGATGACAAATTGTTGGTGTTGCATGTACAGTACTTATGTTACATTTTTATCCTTATTTGCTTTTTCTTACTGCAGTCCACTTTTCCGGATTACATTTGTCTGGTTTTGGATCAATTTATAATTTTTATTTGATTACTTTTATTTTTATTTTTCAAGGTATCTTCTCAAGTAACGACAACCTTAATGACCGACTGTTTCTGGATTTTATTTAGCATATTGGTGGGTAAATTACTTGACCTAACTCCACGAACGCGTACAAAAATTGAAATTTTTGTTAAACGGTTTTGATGAATTACAAACTGCTACCAAGTGTGGTGTCAACTGTCTATATGCGAAATTCCTAAGGAATTGCAAAAGAATTTACCCCTGTCTAAACGTTCTGGTAAACGTGGTCTCAGAAGAGTAACAACAGTTCGAGACAAATCACTTCGGCTTAGGGAATGCCAAAAGAATCGCAAAGTATCTAGCAGACAGCTGCAAGGGATGTTAGAACAGCATGGTGTTTTAATAATTTCGGGAGACTTAAGACGATTTTTGGATTATGGACTTGTCGCTTGCAGACTTCGGAAAAAGCAAAACTTCAAACAAATGGTCAAAAATGGTCAAAAGAAGACTGGGAGCGGGCAATAAGCAAAAGCTTAATTTTGTGGGGAATTTCGAAAATTTGTTCCTACATTGCTTGGGTATTTCATACAGCTCCTTTGTTTTTTTATTTTAGGTTGTTTTCATCTATGAGAGTATTATTCTGTGCTCTGATCAGCAAGCTGAATATGTCCAGCGATTACCTGGAGAACAAAAGAGGGAACTCTGTCTCGTTCAACTAGTCAAGCATCCCACTCAAGTCACGATTTGGTGCTTTATGAGCATCTTCGGAACTTTTCGGCTTTACGTCGTCCAGTGTAACATAATCCAGCAGCAATACAAAACACTACCAGAGCACCATTTGATCCCTCAGCTGTGTGTATGGGCAGAGAAAAAAGAATTTAAAGAGACAGGAGACTTTATTTTCATGCATGACAGTGCTCCATGTCACAAGGAGCGTGAACTAACCTGTTTTTGAGGGCTGGGGTATTAAAGTACTATCATATGCTGGAAACAGCCCTGACGTGAATCCAATAGAGAACTTATCGGCAATTCGAAATTCGATGAAGAAAATATTTATTACTAATGAGCAACGCCACATAGAAGAAATTATAGCGACATAGGCATGCAATGAGAGCATGACTGAACATTGCAAAAAGCTCCTTCACTCCATTCCTTTGCGTGTTAACTCCCTGTAAATTGCCAAATGATCATTTACAAAATACTAATCTTTATGAATTTCTAAACGATGTATGTTTTTCCTGGAAAATCTGATCAGTTTACAATTAAATCATTTGATTTTTACGAGAAATGTAAAGAAATATGAATAATGTTTGCTCAATGCAGTAAATTTATAATAATTTGGCCAACAATGTATATCGAGGAACTTGGTTTGCCAAACATGCTGTAATTTTCGTTTATTTGACTTTGCCGAGTAAGCTTTTGTCCCTGAAGGAAGGAGTTCTACGACAGTGTACGGACAAAACTCCAGCACCAGAAGATGCACCTCGGTCATTCGAGTTCAACACACCTACCTCGTTCGTCTCTGTACCGGCACCCACAGAGTGATGACCATGGTGGCTGCGCTCCTGATGAACGTGAACTCTAGCCGGATAAACGTTCAGCAACTTGAGCGACAGAGCATCATTCTCCTTGTTTGCATTCGCAAAACGCCAACTGTGAATTCCCATCTGGCATACAAGGTGCACAGATAAGATATCAGTTCGCTCCAAATGAAAATGTCGCAAGTACTTGTTCATAAGTTGTGAGGCTCATTCAACGCACCAATGACAGTTCGCGAAGCTCATTGGCCAAACGTTCATGGCGTCAGCCGTTACTCATTGCGTCGCGAGTTCAATTCAAATTTACGGCTATTTCTACCTGATGAATCCAAACGAGAACGAACTGGGTGCAGTGTTACGAGCGAGCGACATCGAAAACCCTCCAATGTGGATACTGTCTTTGTGATCGGAAGTCTACTTCATGGTGAACCGGGGAGTGGCCGAGGAGATCAGGCGCCTACCTTGTTGACTGGAGATAACCGCTTCGAATCTGTGTGAATACGGGCAACTGCGCATTATCTCTAGCCCACGCGCGACGTGTGTGGCAGCGAAGCTTCGGTGGGACGCACCGGTGCACTGTTGACACCTTATTCCTCTATCTTTTATAGAGATTGCATCTCGCAATCTAGACGCGCTGCATATAAGCCGAAGCTCACCAATGAACTTATTGCCTCAACCGGTAACCGGTACGCTTCGCCTGAAGAAGCTTTTGAGTCAAAAGCGAAACGTTGTGCAGTGTAACAAATATATTAACCGGTCATCTATGCCTTCTGAAATGATGACTTCCCGATCGCCCTTAAGTACATACTCAAGGCATACATGAGATCTTCACAAACATCATCTCACAAGCAAATGACTGTACCGCGTACTGTCTGGCTTCTGGCTTGCTTCCAAGTTAACCACTCACCCTACATTATTCCTACCTAATCCTCCTGGCATAAATGTTACCTTTTGTATTGTAGATACCGTTCGCATCATTGAAGCGAGTATCCTGACCGATGTCGATGAAATTTTGACTACGCACTCCTTGGTTAGGATGAATTGCAAACTTAAATATACCGCTCCCAAATATCATCATCATCAATGCACGTTAGCTGAGGATGGGCAACACAATTCAGCTGATGTGTGCCTTCCAAAACAGATGTTTTCTTCTTTAGTGTGAATTAGCGAAGCAAGCAGCTATCATCAGCTTCCATAGGGGGTATACACACACGTTGTTGCCCAGCTTCAAACAGTAGTCATGCTGTTATCTCGCTTTCAGCTTAAGTAACGTTGTTGCTACGCATGGGAGTGATGCACTCACATAGTGAAACAACGGTCACTGAGAACGCTAGTGAGCCCAATGTACTGTCACCGAACATGCTTGACTTATCAGTGGGGTCGCATGACTACTGCTTATCCTTTGTATGTCTACTTGATTCGCTCCGCTTGGCCACTCCCATCACGTTCTCCTCTTGTCCACCTTACTTCATGTCCGGCTTGATGATCATTTCTCACATCTTAACTGCTAGAGTCATCTTTGCTACCTGATACATCGTACTTTTCCCCCTGTTGCCGTAAGTTTACTTCCGTGCTTCTGAAAATCAATGAGGGATATTGAACAGCGATCCTGTGCCTTATTGATGTCATTCATCCTACTGAATTCGCTTTATGTTCGCCGGTAGATTTTCGTCATAATCTCTCAGCTTAGCCATCATTATTTTTAAGCTAAGATGAGGATCTCCTTCACAAAACTCTGCTGACTTATTCCACTCTTTGCGAGTCCCCATTTCAATGACTAATCTTCTACCCTGTCCGTTTGCTGTCCAACAGTTTTCTAGCCCATTTGCCTGAGGAGCTGAGTGTTCGATCAACTTTTAATCGGGTTGTACCTGCACTCCTTATCCCTTATGTGCGTTACGATCCTGTCTACTTCGTACTCACAGTCGATGTGCGTAGCCGCTGGTTGGTTGTTATGTATGTTTCGTCCCCACTGGTTGTTTCTTGCAAATAAGCGTCCTTCTTCTTCACCACTTCTGACCAGTTGTTCATTCACGAGTTGTTTCAATGCAGTTTCAGCCTTTTCCAAATGATTCCACTGCGTTTACGTACAACAATCCATTGGATAAGGTCTCTCCTCATCCTATCATAAACTATAAACTGGATGTGCTCATCGTGCTTACTTGTTCCACCTGACCAGGATATTCGGGTGCAATGTCACCACAACTGACTAACTGCTCCTCGTCCATGTCCATGACAAACAATATTTGATAAAATATCCAATAGTCGCTATCGTTTTGTCACGGCACTTCCTGTCACACTGTCTCCTTTAGCGTCTCGGTGGTATTTTCTGCATGCTTTGTGCTTTTACGCTTTATGCGTGTATCTTGCTCTACTGGCATTCGTTCATGCATTACCACCTCGTCAAGTTGCTTAGAGCGAATTTCGCATTCGCATTTTTATCCACAATTTTTCCATTACCTCCTCCGTACTTCTCTCTCATGCTCCAAATTTAGGACCTATTCCAGACCCCATCCTTACCAGCTGTTACGTGTTGGACTCATGCATTGATCGGCTGTACCTGTGATATCTCATCTTCTTCACCAAGCCCAACTTTGTCCACGGCATCCGATGCATGCAGTGATCTAGGTGATCAGTGCTGCTCCGACGAGGAATCCGACATACGAGTTTGTCAGCTTGGACAGAGCGTCACTGAATCCAGACTCACAAAACCACATTTCAGTGTTCCAAAGGAGCGCCGAACATTCGCGACAGAGTCTTTAGCATTTCTCCTCAACTGGAAACACAGTCTCACCGATGTGGCCATCGGACGCTTGTGCGACCCCCTCTTGTCGTCATTTGAATCTTGCAAGGAGAATCTCCCAATTAACGCAGTATTTTCCTCGGCCACCGAGGGCGCCGAAACTTCTAACCTTTCCGCTGCGGATCATGCATAATCCCTCGACTCAGATCCCTTTATGTTTGTTTACGAAGTGTTCTCCTTCGTACTCATCTCGGTGATCCTCTTACTGTCAGTTTTTATTGTCAGACATATTATTTCTTAACCCGGACACCTGCTTTGATATTGCTATCTGCCTAGGTGCTTATCTTGGCGTCTTTCTATCCTTTACTGCTCTGTCGGCTGCATTTTCATTTCGTCGCTGCGTCCGTGATTGCGTGTAATGGTGGTTGATTGCATTGCGTTGTGGCCCCTGCAACACCCACTTGACCGTGCGCTGCTACAGTCAGTACGATTAGTAGTGCGGTTTCCGAGTCGCTCTGTTTAGAAGGTTGATAATCAACGATTTTGGAAAGATTTTCTTGGTTGTTGACAAAACACCTTGTGTTGCCACATCGCTTGCTTGCACCGGGTAAATACCGTCCAATTTTTCATTCGAAAGTAATATTTGGTACTTCCTTAGTGGTGGTATGCTTGCCAGCTCATCATTACGCGCCACTCTACGCTGTCCGCACCAGTCCCTAACCATGATACTTCTTTTCTCTAATAGAATTGGCCACTATACCTATTAGTCATGCCTTAGCAACGGACCTACTGTATAAAGTTATCTGTGTATTATTGTTGTGTGTGTTTGCAGTATCCTTCGTGTGTTTGACCTGTGGCATTCAGTTTCGAAATCCCACACGACTCATGTCGCCCCTATAAGTGGTGGCTCAAGGATTTTCACACATCATAAATACTTTCTTTGGGCGACAGTAGTACGTTGGTACGCTGTACCGACACTTCGCTGCCACGCAACCGTCACCAGTCGCACGTAGGCTAATGATTTTGTGAGGGTTGCCCGGGCCCCTACGCAGGCTCGAATCCTCGACCTTCAGGTTGCAAGGCAGACGTCTTATCCTATCGGTCACGGGCTGGCGTGAATAGTTTCTAGTTTTACTGCACTGGCTTCTTGAACATGTTGTTACTATTGACTCCCTGGTTACTCATCACAAGACGTCTTAGAAAGCATGAGAAAAATAATCTTACTTCATACTCAAATCGAGCGTTGTATTGACATTCATATTATTATGGCACTTAGCCGATGAACGGAACAGAACGTGCACGCGCAGTATGGAACCGATTTACTAAAAGCTTCCTGCGTTACAGTGGCTAGAAATGCCAGAAACAAAAATCAGTGAAATAAGGATAGTAAGGCAAGGTCATTGTCAACCAATCATGTGAGGTCCTGTGTTCACGTATCCATAATCAAATACATACGTGACACCCCTCACTTCCCTGGTCAAGACTACAGACTCCGGGTTGCTACCGATCATTTGGCTTAGGCGTGCGTTTTGAGTGTCTTAATTGTGGTTGTACAGCATCCGTTTGTGGTTCCTGGTTTTGTGAAGCAGATTCTCCGTCCGTTTTTGGGTCAGTAGCAGTCGCTTTTTGATCCCGCTCATGTGGTTCGTTTGAGCGTTTTCGGATTTGGTCAAAATGGCGATGCACCACACAGCCGTTCCTTAGCTATAGCTTCGCTTGGTTACTGCTTGAGGACATGAGTGTAGCTGGTTGCCAGCTTGTTTCGTGAGGCATTCTTGTGTATACCGGATCAAAATCATTAAGACACATTTCCTCTGGCATCTTTTCATCCACACACATTTTCTCCTGCTTTTCCTCCATTCTCCTTCGAGGGTTTGGAAAAAGTAGGTGCAGTCTCGTTCGTAGTGGCCGACCAAACATTGATTCCGCGGGTGACTTCCCTGTCGACTCAGTCGGTGTCGTGCGGTAAGAGAACAGGAGACGATCCAACTTAGTTTGTAGAGTTCCATGAGTCTGCTTGAGGAAACCTTGCTTAACAGTCTGGACTGCACGTTTTGCCATTCTATTCGACGCGGGATGGTACGGTGCAGACTTAATGTGCCGTATTCCGTTGTTACACAGGAACTGTTGAAACTCTTCACTGGTAAATGGGATTCCGTTGTCGGTGTATACCGTCTCTGGGATACCGAAAATGGCGAATATGGAGCGCATTTTTGCAACTGTTGCTGCGGAAGTCGCATGTGAAACTGGATGTACTTCTATCCATTTAGAATGGGCATCAATCAAAAGTAGACACATCATCCCATTGATTTGGCCAAAGTAGTCCGCGTATATCCGCTGCCAGGGCCTCTCCGGCCGACGCCATGGACGTATCGGTCCGGGAAATTTTTGCTGTCTGACATTGTTCGCAGTTTTTCAGCAGCCGCTCTATATCCCGGTCAATGTTCGGTCACCAACAGTAACCACGTGCCAGCGCCTTCATCCTGTTCGCGCTGGGTTGTGCGTCATGCAGCTCTCTCAGCAATTGGGGCTGTAGTCCTTCTGGTGGAACTATGCGTGAGCCTCGAAATATACAGCCGTCGTATAGACTCAACACATTACTCCGACTGGTGAATGGTTTCAGTTCATCTGACGTGCTTGTAGGCCATCCGGTCATCAAGAACCGTTTCACCATCGACAACATGGGGTCCGGTCAGTCAGGCGCCGCACCACGTCACTCCGGATTGGTGTCTTTTCAAGGTGTAGCATCAAATTGATAAACTCCATGGGTTCACTATTCGTTTTTGTGCCATGCTGCTGCAGGAGGCGACTAAATGCATCGGCAATGGTATTACTTGGTCCGTTTACATACTGAAGTTTGTAGTTCAACAACAATGCACAATGATTTATAACGGGTAAAAAAGCATATGCTTGACAGGTCCCGTAGGGTGGTTGGAGCAATAGATAAAGTGGAAGGATAATCGAACAAGTAAATCGTTTTTTAAGCCCACAGATTTCAACGCACCACTTCATAATGATAGTTTGAAGTATGGACTGGATGTCTGCACCCAAAGTAGAGCTGTTATATTACAGCAAATGTGGGAAAAAGAAATCAAAGGAACGGATAACGCTCACTCGTGTGTTGCTTCCGTTGAGAGATGTGGTACGTTACTCCAGTTTGTAAACATCCATGTCGCTCATTGGGACACTTCTGTATGTAACATCACCGCCACTTTGCGGGGAGGGACAGTAACCTCATGGTTTGTGTCTCGTTATTTCGTCCTCCGAATAGGACGTGCTATGCCAACTAATGCAAGTTGGAAAGTGTGTCATCTAGGCGTTTTTTAAATAGTGTTAATGTGGGGCAAGGACGACGTGAGTGGGGAGCGCATTCCAAGCACGGGACACACGGAGTGAGAAAGAATTTCGTCGACAATCAAGTCGGCTGTAGTGTGTAGCCAGTTTGAGCTGATGACCTTTCAGGTTGGTATTTTGGCTCAGCTGCAAGAGACTGCGACATGGGTGATTTGGATTCATCAGTATTAAGTAGACCATGATGAGGTCTCCTCGGTGACGACGATATTCACCACTGTACAATCCCAGAGACTGCAGTCTGCGTTGGTAGGGGATGTGAAACAGGCCTCTGACGAGCTTCGTTGCTCTACGCTGTGGAGCTTCAAGTGCACTGATGTCGCGCTTGCGCCAGGGACGCCAGGCCTGGATAGCATACTCCAATTGAGGTCTCACGTAAGCGCTCAGCATTTGCGGAAATACAGATGGCTCGAAATTTCCGAAAGCTCTCCGTAAGAGTCCGAGATGTTGACTGGCCCTTTTCGATGCCTTTTCAGCTTGTCTGGAGCAGCCAAGGTCGTCCTGCACGATCACTCCAAGGTCGCATTCCTGGGAAGCATGTTGCAACGGCTGGTCCCCGAGTAAGTATTCATGGATGAGCTGGTGGCGTAAGCTCACGACTTTGCACTTGGCGACATTGAAGTGGAGCATGTTTTCGGATGACCAAGTGTACGCCCTGTCCAGATCGCTCTGCAGTGTTGCGTGATCGTCCTCTGTCCGGATGTCTTGCCAAATTTTGACATCATCTGCAAACAGCGAGAAGTTCGACTGTAGTACACTGGCAAGGTCGTTAATGAATGTTAAAAATAAACGTGGCCCTAGTACTGACCCTTGTGGCACACCGCACTGGACGTCGATTGGGGCGGACATGGAGCTGCGGACTCTCACATTCAGCTGACGTTGAGTGAGAAAGTTGGCGATCCAATCAAGCACAGGGTCACCGATTCCGTAGCCTTGAAGCTTGTGCAGGAGGATGCGGTGGTCCAAACGATCGAACGCCTTCGAGAAGTCCAGGTAGACAACGTCGACTCCAAATCTAGCATCAGCTGACTCCGTCCAGCTTGCTCGGGCCAGCAGCAAGTTTGTAGTGCAGGATCGATTTCGGCGGAATCCGTGTTGCTGTGGCACTATGATATTGTTGTTCTCCAGATATCCCATCAGCGCCTCCGCAATTATACGTTCCATTACTTTGGATAACACTGGGAGGAGAGTGATTGGACGGTAGTTCGACGGCTCCGCACGATTACCACTTTTGTAAATGGGAGTGACTAGCCCATGTTTCCACATTGTGGGAATCAGCATTTCGTCAAGACAACGTTGAAAGAACCGAGCTAATGGTTCGGCAATGTTTAGGGCCGCTGCCTTCAACGCCTTCAGTTTAATATCGTCTACGCCCGGCGAACTGTGCACACGCAACGACATTAGCGTTTTCAACACATTGGTTGCCGTGAACGATACGTTGTGTAAACCTGGGAACGGTGAGAGCTCTGTCAAAATCGGGTGAAGGGATGGTTCACTCCGGAAAGTATGGAGGAAGTGTTGACGAAACACGTTGGCCGCGTCCTGTGCAGTTTGCGCATGACCATCTGTTGCACGAAAGACCGGGATCCTGCGCTGCACTCTACGGAGTTTGTTGATATGTCTATACAACAGCTTTGGATTTTTGCTGAATTTCGCCGCTAAGTTCTGTTGGTGCTGGAGTTTGTCTTCGCGAATCAACTTGACGCAGTGGTTTCGTTGAGTTGTGTAGACTCCCCAGGTCAGATTACTTGGGCAAACTTTGTAAGCGTGCCAGGCCGAATCCCTTAAGGCCATAGATTTTCTCGTACGGCTTCTTAGGAGCGAATCCACTTGCTTCGGGCGAAAGGCCTTGCGTTCTGATGCATTTGCCACTAGCTCAGTGAATTTGGTGACAAACACCATCCAAGCCTCATCGGGCGGATTCTCGGTCAGGAAGGACCAGTTGATGTCTTGAACAAGGTTAGACAAGATGTCGTAATGTGTAACCATATAAGTTTCCTCGTCGTTCTCTCTAACGTACTCCGAATAACAGATGTAACGAAAGTGCAACGTCGCGTGATCACTACGACCTAGTGATGTAGCTATGGTAACGGTGTGCTCAAAAGT